TGAGTCAAATAGAACTGGGTTCAAATCCTTACTCCATTTTATTTGACTTCAGTTCACAGATGCATCATCCGTAAAACCTCACAGAGTTGTGCTAAGGATTAAACGATATACATAAAGTGCTTAGCTCTAGCACAAGTGTCTGGCATAAAACAGACAATCGATTAATAACTGTTATGATAAAAAAAACTGTTATGATAACTACTATTACTGCTGCTCACAGGACTCAGTCTGGTGCTGTAGGAAACCCTGAAAACAAATGGAAGTAAAATCTAAAGAAATGAGAACAAGAAGAAAGAAAGAAAAAGAGAAATAAAGAAATAAATCTCAACAAGATGTTTTAAATGTACAGAGTAGGGAGCAACCAGCTTTATAAGAACTGAGGAACTTTTCATAAAGAGAAATAAAGATGATTTTCTTATTTACTCATGTAGCATTAGAATATTTATAGTACTGGGGATCCCTGAGTGGCTCAGCAGTTTGGTGCCTGCCTTTGGCCCAGGGCGCGATCCTGGGGTCCCAGGATCGAGACCCGCGTTGGGCATCCGGCATGGAGCCTGCTTCTCCCTCTGCCTGTGTCTCTGCCTCTGTCTATCATGAATAAATAAATAAATCCTTTTAAAAAAAAGAATATTTATAGTACTTAACTATGACATTAACCTTTGCTAGAAACACTGGCATTTTCATGAAAAGACTGCCATTTTGAAGATCCACTGTCTCACCAATTTGCCTTCATCAATATCCACAAAGGCAAGTTCATCACTCAAGCCCTAAAAGAAATTAGTCAAAAGCAGGGGGCAGGGAGTAAACCTCTTGATTAAGTGGAGAATGAAAGAAAATTCTTATACCAGCAATCTACGTGTACCTTTTGAGTTATTAGGCTCAAAGAAGACATAATATGTTCAACATTTCATGATATAAGAATCCAAGCCACGGGTGCCTGGGTTGCTTAGTTAAGCATCTGCCTTCTGCTCAGGTCACGATCCCAGGGTCCTGGGATCCAGCCCCACATCGGGCTCCTTGCTCAGGGAGGAGAGTCTGCTTTTACCACTTCTGCCCTCCCCTCTCTGCACTAACTTGTGCTGTCTCTCTCAAATAAATTTTTTTAAAAAATTAGAAAGTCCAAACCAAAAGAGATTCAAGTTACAAAGAAAGTTTCAGTTCACAATTAGGAATTATAAAAACAGAATTTTTTTTAAAAGATTTTATTTACATATTCATGAGACACACAGAATGAGAGGAAGAGACACAGGGAGAGGGAGAAGCAGGATCCCTTTGGGGAATCCGACGCAGAACTCAATCCCAGGACCCTGGGATCATGACCCAAGCCAAAGGCAGATGCTCAACCACTGAGCCACCCAGGTGCCCCCAAAACAGAAACCTTTTAATAAATAGATGAGTCTCTGCAGGTAGTGAATACCTCTTTAAGCTGAGGCTGCACAGTGACAAAGCAGAGATTCTGTAAAAGGAATTTCTCATCAGACTATGAGCTCCTTGAGAAGAGGAAGTATTTGTTCTCCACTCTCGTGCTTGGCACCTACCTAGCACATAGGAGCTCAATAACAGTTTTTTTAATAAATGGATTCAAATATAAGGTCTTTCCAAATTCTAAAATTTTACAGTTCTATAATCAGGCGTTATTACCTGCAAAACAGTACTATATATTTCTAGCATGCTACTTTATATGTAAGAAAGGAGGGAAAATAATATATTTGTATTTGCAAAAGAAACACTTGGAAAGTACACAAGAAACTAATTTAAATAGGTACCTATAGCAGATGTTGGGGGGAAGGCTGGATGAAATATATACTTCACCATGTATATCTGTTTATATTACTTTTATTTTGTAACCTTGTATCTTTTGAAAAGAAATGTTTTAAATAACTACAAATTTTAAATAACTATAAATATTTTTTAAATATTTATTTGAGAGAGAGCAAGAGAGATCAGAAGAAGAGGAAGAAGCAGACTCACCACTGAGCAAAGAGCCTGATGTAGGGTTTGATCCCAAGACCTGAACTGAAGGCACTTAACTGAGCCACCCAGACATCCCTACAAATTTTAAATAACAAAAATATTCACTGAAAAAAATGACTATACTTAGAAATAATCATCTACAATGTAAGCATATGTTCAACTTAGATTATTGGATACCTTACATTATTCTAATTAATAGAAATCCAAAACCAAGCACTTTAAATTTTAAACTACATCATAACTGATTAGCTTAGAAGTCTAAATTCCAACATGAGGGAAATATTGTTGCTGAATGAGATGCCAATGCTTTCTGAGTACTCTGAATTATTCAGTGATTGTAGTAAGTAGCAGAATTCTATAGTATCAATAAAACTATCTTTGAAAAGCTAATTTTAAAAATGCACTGTAACTCTACTAGCAACAAGCATACCCAGCACCCAGATCTTGGTTTATATAATCCTATTCTCCAATAACAGGAACTAGAGATTCCTGGAAAAAGGCTGATTTGGGCCTGGAGCAGAAAATATACCAGTTGAAAAAGCTGAAACACCTTATAGTGCCAGAGAGTAAGGAAGTACTCAAAACAAAAGCCCTATGTCAATGGGACATGTTAAAGGTACACAGTAGCCAAGTGAATAAGCTTCCAGTGGCCAAAGATGGAATAATGTGTGAAATAAATTCAATGAAGACATATGGGATTATAACCCAAAATATAAAATAAAATCCATGAATCCATACTAATATTTACAAATGAATTAACAGGGTGGAAGAAACAAATCTCCCATGCAGAATTCCAAAGAATTTATGAAGACACTCCACCCTCAGAGGGAGCATAACTCCCTCTTTTTTTTTATAAAATTTTTTTAAGATTTTATTTATTTATTCATGAGAGACAGGGGGTGGGGGTGCAGAGACACAGGCAGAGGGAAAAGCAGGCTCCATGTAGGGAGCCCAACATAGGACTCAATCCCAGGTCTCCAGGATCACGCCCTGGGCTGAAGGCGGCGCTAAACCCCTGAGCCACCTGGGCTGCCCAACTCCCTACTCTTACGTGTGAGCTGCACATATAGAACTTCCTTCTAAAGAGTGTAGTATGGAAAGGGGAAAAGAAAAGTAGAGAAACCTAACACAACCTCAGCCAGGTGACTGAAGGCAACATCAACTATGGTAAGTCACCATAGTACATAGTATGTACTCTGGTGATGTGATGAAAATGGCACTTTAGGGGGTCCCTGGGTGGCGCAGCGGTTTGGCGCCTGCCTTTGGCCCAGGGCGCGATCCTGGAGACCCGGGATCGAATCCCATGTCGGGCTCCCTGCATGGAGCCTGCTTCTCCCTCTGCCTGTGTGTGTCTCTGCCTCTCTCTGTGTGACTATCATAAATAAATAAAAATTAAAAAAATATAATTAATTTGGGGATCTTATTAGATAACATAAAGCATATTGTTTTCAGTATTGTTGATACTGACAACAAATGTATTGGTTTTCATGTATATGCATTCTTCATTAGCAATGATGACACTGCTGATAAAGGCATTATACAGCTGATAGAACAAAATGAGTCACTGGGAATTCATATGACTGGACAGAGGCTGACATTCTTACTGTCTTAAGGATACTTATGTCATCTAGCACCAATCCTTTACATCTAATAATCATACCAAGATTAAAGTACAGGAAGGTAGCTTAAGGACATTTTACATATATTCAATTAATAAAAGCAAAGCATAGCTCCAAGAGTTTATTATTTACTAAAACATTATGGGTTCGAGAACATTAGGTGATGTTCTTAGAAAGGGGTCCGAATCTTTTTAGTTCCATGTCTAGCCATTTTTTTTAAAGATTTTATTTATTTATTAATGAGACACACACACACACACACACACACACACACAGAGGCAGAGACACAGGCAGAGGGAGGAGCAGGCTCCGAGCATGGAGCCTGCCGTGGGACTGGATCCCGGGTCTACAGGATCACGCCCTGGGCTGAAGGCAGACGCTAAACCGCTGAGCCACCCGGACTGCCAGGAGAGAGATTTTTAAAGAAAAAAGACTATTGTATTTGGTACTCACAGGACACCCACCACACCGGGGCAGTGCACTTTTTTTCTGTCACCTATTTCTTCAGTGTAGAGTGTGTGCGCGCGCTGTTCCCTAGTCAAGCAGGGGCACTTCATATTGTGATCACATGAGCGAAAGTGAAATGCCGACAGTCTAACACATAGGATACCGTAACAAAAACTAGAAAAAGCAGCCCCCTCTGGGTGAGACAATCAGAAAAGTGACCTTTTCCTCTGGACTAGGCCGGCAGGGACTGGACAGGGCCCCCACTCACCCCCTTAACTGGATACAACCTGCACCACCGTATCAGCACCTTTACATCCCCAGGAGGGAAACTTGGTTGGCCCTAGGGCACAGCGCACGTAACTTACTTTTAGTAAGATGTTGATGGGCAGCCCCGGTGGCTCAGCAGTTAAGCGCCGCCTTCGGCTCAGGGCCTGATCCCGTGGTCCGGGGGGGTCCCAGGATCGAGTCCCACGTCGGGCTCCCTGCAGGAGTCTCTGCCTCTCTGTCTCATGAATAAATAAAATCTTAAAAAAAAAAAAGTGTTGATTGCACAGGCCATACCAATACTGGAGATCTTACTGCGACCCTCAGCACCTCTGAGGTGAAGTTCTTAGTTCACGCTGGACAGCCGCCACCTCGGAAACCTACCGCCACGCGGCTCCCTGAGAGAGGCCGACGGAGACCGCCTGGGTCCCACTGCGCAGAGGTGCCGCAGACCCGACAGGGAGCGGAGGAGGGGGCGGGGGGAGGAGAAGGGCGCTAAGCTAGGGCCTGAGGAGGAGTGACGGCAAGGCGGCCCCTCCCCGCCCCGGCCTCACTCTCCCCGCAGCCCGGCTCTCACGCGGCGCCTCAGGCTCGGAGCCCACCGACGCCAGGCGCGCAGGACTTCCGGCCGCACGCACGCACGCACGCACGCACGTGGGGGGGGGGCAGCCGCTGACCGGGGTGCGGACGCTCTACGCGGGGCACAGCCGGCCGAGGTCCGCAGAAGGTCGCTCCCGCGGAGCCGACGCTCGGCCGGTCTGCAGGACCCCCGCACCCGCTCACGGCTGCCCCTCGTCCGGACGGAGGGAAACTGTTGGCGGGAGGCTGCGCACGCCGCGCCCGCTCGAGTGGGCCTCGCGCCTGCGCCTGCGCTTCGCCCAGCTCGAGCGGGCCTCGAGGCGGCCTCGCGCATGCGTGCTGCTGCCCTCATGTGCGCCTGCGCCGCCCGTCACGTGCACCCGCGCCACACCCCGCTCGAGCGGGCCTCGCGCACGCGGTGTGGCTGCCTTCGTGTGCGCCTGCACCTGCTATTGTCACCTGCGCCCGCCGAGGGCTGCGGGGAGGCTCCTGGGCTCTAAGAGCAGGAGGCGCTAAGATGCTGGAGCCTCAGCTCTCACACGGAGCGGAGCGCTGCTTGCCCCGAGCTCGCCCCCTGGAGAGCGCAGGTAAATTTATTTCTAATCAGACCTCGTCTGGATGTATCCAGGAGGGCTGTTTGACTCTCCATGGGGAACTTTTTGAACTTTTTGCCAAGAGCTGCAGGACTCAGTGCTACTTTGAACCCTCTGCAAATGTGAGCTAAAGTGGAAAGAGTAAAAATTTTAAGACTCTCTATGCAAAGGGGATTTCTAAATATTATATGAAACTCTGAAGAATTTCATCAGGGCAGGGCTAATTTAATCGACTAGTGGCTGTTTCCACCAGTGGATGGGAAAGCTCGACTCATTATTTATGAAGTAGTTAAATGCAGAAGCCAAAATTCCCCTCTTGTCCTTTTTAATCTGGGAACTCCACGGTTTCTTCTCTTGTCCCCTTACATTCTACCCTGGTTGTTTGCTAACTCATTTGTGAATCATGTTACATAATACACCGCTGACAAATTCTTTTATAAGAAACAGAGCCGTGTTCCTCAAACTTTTTTCATTCTCTCTCCCTCAAGGGCCTTTTTTTTTTAGATTTTCTCCGCCAATTTTTCGGCTCCACCCATCCCCATCATGAAACTAAATATTAAAGAGGGGAGCCTGGCTGGCCCAGTCCGTGGAGCAAGTGCCCCTTGATCTCGAGATTGTGAGTTTCGGCCCCCTGTTGGGTACAGATATTACTTAAAAATAAAATTAAAAAAAAAGAGTAAGATTTTATCTGGTAGGGTTGGACTTTATGGAGTGAAACTCTTGTAATATCTAATATTTTCCCACATCTCACACCATAACCAATTTCACACTCTTGGGGGAAATACTGACCCTTTTGAGAATATGCAGTGTAGGGCAGTTTTACTTCCTAGAATATTCCCTGTAGAAACTATATTCTGCAGCCTTTAGATATCTGCAAGGATTTCCTAAAATGAAGTTTTAATTTGGTGTACAAACAGCTTTAAAAAATAGGTGAAATCCACATTAGACTCCCCTATCCCTGCTACCCTAACTAAACTGTCTCATCATCCTATTCTGTGCATTCAAGGGAAGAGCTGAAAACAAGAAAAAAGAACAGAATAATGGGAAACTAATCATATTCAGCTGTAGAGGACTAGAATGAAAATTATTCAGAGTGTAAGAATAAGTGTGAACTGTGACTCTCCACCCAATGAGTACACCTTCACTAGAGCCATGTAAGTCCCTAGGACCTGCATATCTGTCTTCTAATTTTTCCCACTGGTCCTGTCCTAGTCTATTATAAATTATTTTGATCCTGATTTCTTAGTTTTTAATTGTGTATTTCCTATAGCTGCCTTAAATTGTGAAATCAAGGAAATATTTTATATATGTGTGTGTTATAAGTATGTATAAATTAGAAGCACACATCTGGGGGCATCTGGGTGGCTCTGTCAGTTAAGTGTCTGGCTTCAGCTCAGGTCATGATCCTGGGGTCCTCAGATAGAGCCCTACATCGGGCTCCCTGCTCAGCAGGGAACCTGTTTCTCCCTCTCCCACTTCCCCTGCTTGTGCTCTGTCAAATAAATAAATAAAATTTTCAAAAAACAAGCACATATATCCACTCATATACATGCATGTCAATAATCAATTAGTTGAGGTACCCTAAATACTGTGAGATACTTGAGGGCATAAATCATATCATATTGACCTCATAACGATTACACAGCAAGCATAGCAATAGTTTGCTCAACAAATGACCTAGAGAATGCTCTAAGCTTCCTGTGTGGTATTTCAACAGACACCAAATCAACTATTTGGGTTTATATGAACTGGAATAATATAGGTTTGGAGACATTCCATTTACTTTTTTTATAACATAAAAGTTTTGTTTCCTTCTGATATACATGGTCTTAAAGATAAGAACTTAGTAGAGATCATACGTAGACACATGAAACTAATGAAACAATATAAAGTAAATATGCCTGTGCCCTAATGGAAGAATGAAATTTCAACACTAGAAAAAGTGCTGGTTGTTTTGTGAGAAAAATTTTAAGTGTTATATTATAACGGGTTATTATCCATACTCTACTAAACTTGAAGGCAACTCTTACACATGACATATCTCAGAAGTATAACTTGCATCTCTATAGGTTGGGTATCATTAGAACAGAGCTATAAGAGATTCACAAAGAGGAGAAATATCTTTACCATTTCCTTTTCCCGAGCCTTGAGGGACTGAAGTTATGTCATGGATCTCTAATGTTTTATTTTTTACAGATAAGATTAAAATACTTTCAAAATGTAAAATATACAGTCTGATATCTTCTGTTCTATAAAACAGTGGAACATTAAGAGACTTTAAAACACCAGCTCTTTTTGGACATTCCAGAGTGTGTCTGCACTCTTCTTAAAAAGGGCCTCCTCATCAGAATTCAAGTTAACTTTCACAATATCCGAGACACCATTTTGCCCCAAAACACAGGGGATACTGAGAAAGATTTCTTCTTTGATTCCATATAAGCCCTAAAAGGCAAAATTAGATTGTTGTTTAGTAACATGATATGGAAAAGCACTTGTGCAAGACAGCTTCAGAATAAGATACCAGAGAGACCATGGAGCTCAATTAGAATCAGAAGGTGGTAGAGTAGCTATCAACAATATTGATCCTAATGTCCTATGACTATACAGAAGAACATACCAGAGGCCTTCAAAGGGACCAAGAAAGGCAACGTCTACTTTACCCGTTACCAGTTCCATTTTTCTGTCCAAAGGAAAGATGCCATCCAATCCTTCATGATGCCATTTTATCTGATAAAGGACTGCAAAATCAAGCAGCCTGTATTTGGTGTAAATTACAGCAAAAGAATAGTGAAGGCTGAGAAGCAGCAAGTGGCTGGAAAGACTTCTTTATATGAGTCGACCTTTACACCAAGAGGCACCATTGAGTTGCACAATAGATGCTACAGGTAACATCTCAATCCTCCAAAGGTGAAGCCTCCAATGGACCCTGCAGGTACTCTCATATGCCCAGGAGGGCTTTTGTCTTTCCCCTGCCAAGTACCAATGGAATGCATGCATGCCCGTCTGTATGGGTACTTCCATCCACCACTCCATCTGACTTCTACCCAGGACCTCCCATGATGAACTGAACATGGAATTGTTGCAACCATGGCCATCACCCTATTCTGGGCTCCTGAAACCTCCAGCCAGCAGCCCCGACATTCCCTCCACTCCTGCAGCTGAAGTGTTTTGGGAATTTGTTTCCCCTCTACTTTCTCTGTCTTTTTTTCTAGAGGGGCTTCTTGAACTAGAATTGGAGAATGTAGATCCATCCCATCATGCCATTTGGGGGCTGCTGGGTGGCTGGAAATAAGGGTCCTGGCTCCTGGAGCCTGGCCCTATGTGCTAACCATGACCTGCTACCCAGCCCCCTCTTCTCTTTAAGCTTCATGCCTGGCTGACAATATGACCCTGGGATACACTAAAATTGACTCTCATTTGCCCCTGTACTGGCCATGAAATGAGAAAATGGCTCTTTAAAAAGAATTCCCTATTTATATAAAAAAAAATCTACCCAATATATAAATATGAAATAAACTGTAGCCTTATTTATTTGCTGAAAATGTGAAGCAATAAAACTAAATGGGGTAAAAAAAAATAAGAGTATATGAGTGATTATCCTCTTAATATCAAATGTTTAAGTTTTCCTATAAAATACAACTTGTCCATTGATTTGGTCAGTAAAAACTATGAAATTCCCATATTAGTCTCTTCTCAGAGCATTTGAAACCCTCTTGACTCTTCCTCAGGCGTGCCCTAGGGGTAATTGCTTATTCTCCCATATGCCTGTATATCCTCCAAAGAGGAGGGGTGTATGGTATCCATTGTGTACTCACTCTCTTTCAAGTCATTAGTCCTTTACTCTCTTAACATTCCCTCTATTTTTTGAGGCTCATTTACTAATGACCATTTACTAACCTCTTGGTTACTTCATCTCATTCATAAAAGACTGACACCTAGCTCACAATCTTTCCTCTCTGTCCCAATATCTGTGATTACTCTTGGTGACTTTGTATGTAGATCATATTTAAGGGCAAAGATGATGAATTTTGTCTGTAACCCTTTAGCGGAAAGTCAAACCCATTAACATGTGTACAAGCCAAAGGCTATACCACATGCATCCCTCCCCACCCACTCTTTCACACCCCAGCTAGTAAATCCCACACCCATATAAATTCAGCTGTCTTCCCTCTCCATGCCTGTGCTCAGATCCCTGGAGAAAACTACACAAAAAAGTTAATCTTTAACTTACATTATAATTAATTAATCAATGCATATCAACCTCAAACGAGCATCCACATAACAGTTATTCTTTTTGCGGGGGGCCAAGGGCTCAAATTCTATTTCTCATTATCTACAAAAGTGATTTCAAACCTTCTCAAACATCTGATTCCTCTATAGGTCCCCTGATTCTCAGGTGATTTTGTCTCCTTTCACTAAAAAAAACATCCAATGCCAAACTTACCAATGTGCATGATTCACTGCCTATCCTCTAATATCTCCTGTTAGAAGAAATAGCTGTCTCTCCTCCTTCCTAGAGCTAATACCTTCATCTATGCTCTGGATCCCACCCTCTCTGCTTAGTACTTCTATCTGTAATATCTACTTTTACTATCAGCATCTTATATTTAAAAAAAAAACAAAAAAAAAACACAAACTTACCTGGCCTTGATTTTCCTCTCCAATTACTACTCTCTTTCCATACCTTCACAGCCAAATACCTCAAAAGAGCTGTTTATACTAGTCTTAATTTCCTCGGAGA